TATGTGCTCATGAGAGACTGCTCCCATTTTACTCATTCTAAATCTACATTATCCAATTGTCTTTGAATTGGCTCACAAAATTTGGATTCCTTTATTCACTGTGCTTCACCTAGAGATTAATCAGGGACAAGTCCTCTCCTCTAGTAGCTTATGCCTCGAAAAGAGAATAAAGCAGGTGTAAAAACTAAACTGGTACATTACTCTAATAAACAAGAGAAAAATATAGCAGGCATTATATGAAAGAGGATGATATTTGAGTTGAGACTTTGAGGATACGTTGATCTTAAATATATAGAAATAAAAGGCTTGCCAGGATTACAGTTAAGATCATTGTATATGGAATCCAAGCTTATACTCCTTATTATCAAACAAGGAAACCAGTGCCAGGTACCTAGACTCTAACTGCATCAGTATCCACTCTATAAAATTGAGAAGATAAGACTATCTGGAGAGGTGTAAATGAGATGATATACATAAAAGAACAAGCCAGTCATTTGCATGTTTGCTCTCAAATATATTCCTTGCCCCTCTTCATTGCAAGAGGTTAATCCTGAATGCTGGGTTTCCCAGGCTCCCTTGTGATCTGGTTTCTAATTGGGTTTAGGCATTGCAAATATTGGAGGAAGATTGACCAGGTCCTCTGGACGAGGCTGAGGTAGGATTAAATTAGTGACCTTATTCAGTTGGCAATGAGAGTAAGAAAAAAGAGAAGTAAGGCAATCAGAGTTGGGGGAAAGGGAAGTGAGGCAAGGAAGAATGCAACACAATGCAATGCATTCTCACACTGGATAATGATTCATAATGAGTTTCAAAAAGACACAGCAGATCCCTCAGCCAGTGGGTTTGCTCATCAGAAGAATTGCAAGGAAGAACCTCACCTTGAAGTGGTCCACAGGAGAGAAAGGAGGGGAGTTAATTTGTCGCACTCTCTCCCATTTCTCATTGGTCAAAGTTCTCCTCATGGGGAACTAACTCCTTGCAATTGCTGCTTATGTCAATGGCCTATAATGGCTGCTTGGACACCTGGATCCCATACCCTGCAGTGTGATGTTTCATGCAAATCTGAACATATGTGTATGGAGTGGTGACCCAGCACTGGTAGGGTGATGACTCAGAGAATAAGAGAGATTCAACAGAATCTGGGATGTGCACAAGATTAGTGTCCAATACCTACACCCTGAAAGAGAGGGTGAGGGAAAATATTCCCAATGGACAGAATTTGCAGCAAGCAGTTGTCCACTTTGTTGAAAGATGAATTGATGTAGATTATGTATAGACCACCTTAACTGTGTTTAACAGGTTAGCCTGTGGGTCAGAGGCTGAAAATAAACAAGACTGAAAGATTAATAACTAAGAGTTATGGGTAGAAGTATGCGTTGAACTTCTAGGAAAAGGACCAGAGTGTGAAAATGCTTTTGTCCCGTGTAAATACCCACCAGAGGACATACACGCAGAGTAAGCACTTAATAATCAGATAAATAGGATGACCCATCCTGTGGATGGTGATTAGCCCGTGCCCAGTCCCCTGTTGCTTGTTCAATGGGCTCATGTGCAAGTGTCCGTATCAGTGGTGGTAAACAGATAAGCCTTAGTGAGGGGAAATCTATGCTCAGGCAGAGCCTCTATCCCTACTCCTATGGACACTTGTACATAAAGACCAACTCTGAGCCTGATTATTCACTATTTCTAGGAGAGTCTAGACAGTCTTCTAGTGGCACTAGTTACATTGAACTAACAGCAATTTGTCCTCACAAAATAGGTAATATTCCAGAGACATATTTGTATTCTTTCCTACATGGCTTCTGCCAGCACCACCATTTTAAAACATACACCATAGGGGATCCCACAACATCACTTGCATCCAAGGAACTGATTTTACAATCCAAGAATTCTGATAATGGGATTTCCCTGTGCAATGCACTGGTCTTACACTGTATGCAATCAGCCAGGAAATGTTGGCCAAAAAAACTATGAGATGCCTTGCTGAAGGCTCCGGTATGGCACCAGTTTGGAAATCCCACCCTATGAGATAGGAAGGTTGCGCTATAAATCTGGTACACGCTTAAAATCAGCAACACTAATATTGGTGGCATTTTTTTTCATATCTAGTATACACACACTCTTCAGAGAATCAAGAGGGGAGGTGAACGTGGCCCCTGTTACCATCAAACTAGTAATTCATTAACAGAACGTTTTATTTCCACCCCCCAACATAGGGCTCAGCTCTGTTTGGAGGGTCTAGTAAAGAAGGGAGAAGCCCTTCCACCAGAGTAAGCCAACTTGGTTCCGATAAATTGAAATGTGCAACTATCTCCCGGCTCTTTCAGGCATCTTAAGCCACTGAAGAAATAGGCAGAAGATGGGGTTTCTATACTGGCTGGAATGACTTACCCCAATACCAAGGAGAACTTGGGTTGCTGGCACATAATGGAGGCAGGGAGGACTATGCCGAAAACAGAAATATACCTTGGAGACATTCCTAGTTACCATTGTCCGATAACAATGGCCAGTGCATTAAACACAGGAACATTAAGGACACTGATCCTTCAGGAATGAAGATTTGGGTCTCCTCACCAGGAAAAGAACACTGAAGTACTAAAGTACTGGCAGTGAGTGACGGGAATTTGGAATGAGTGGCAACTTTGGTCTTACAGCCAATTACCAGGGTGGGGAATGTTGTAGCTATGCACGTTATGTTCATTATCTGTATGCATATGATTGAACATGTACCAAAGCAACCCTGTGGTGTACATATTAATATCTTTATTTAATAGATGAGTAAATTGAAGCTCAGAGAGATGGCACTTAGCTAGTAAACAGCAAGGTTAGCATTGAATCCGTGGCTGCTTTGTCATGAGACCCATGCTTTTTCTCCCCCCCAACAGTGCCTTACTCCGTGCCTGCAGGAAACAACACAGGATCTGCAGTGATGTGAAGAAGACTCATTTTCAGAGTGTCCACAGATTAACATACAGGTCTCTTCTTCCTCTGATTTTTTTTTTTTTTTTTATTCTGTTTCAACTTTGCTGTCTGGGACTATGTTCCCGGAAACAAATCTGAGTACACTGGCACCATTTGGACATGAGATGTCACCTGATAGCCTCTCACTAAGCAAATTCTCTTAAAAATAGAACTGGAGATTTCAAAGAAACATGAAGTGTTTTTAGGTTTCCAAAATCTATAGAAAAAGCAAAGTTCAACTGATGTTTTTACTTTAAGCTATACAGGGACAAAAAAATAAAAAGAGAGAGAGAGAGACAATGTCTGAGTTGGAAGGAACTGAGAATTTTTCTAGCCTTCTCAGCCTTCCTCTGTTTTCTTTCCTCCTCTACAGCTTGTGACCACATCCCTACCAGCTATCCCTACAGCCTCTGTTGAACTGACAGGGCGGCCTGTTATCTCTGGGCTGTTGCTAAAATGAGGGTCTTCCCTGGACCTCTCATGCAGCTGTGCTTACTATGTCACTTCAAGCATCACTTCACTCCATTCAGTCTCAGTGTCCTGTCCTATAATATGAATTTAACAACCCCTAAATTGCTAAATTGTTGTATGGTTCAAATAATATAACTTGACATGGCCGCATTATTCACCACAATAGCCAAAAGGTGGAAGCCACCCGAGTGTCCACCAACAGATGAATGGATAAATAAAATGTATATACATACAATGAAATATTATTTGGCCTTAAAATGAAGGAAATCCTGTCACATGCTACAACATTGATGAACCTTGAGGATGTTATGTTAAGAGAAATAAGCCAGTCACAAAAAAAGGATAAACACTGTATGACGCCCCTTATATGAGGCACCTAGAGTAGTCAAATTCACAGAAATAGAAAATAGAGTGGTGGTGCCAGGGGCAAAGGGGTGGGAGGAATAGGGAGTTATTGTTTAATGGGTAACAGTTTCAGTTGGCAGGATGAAAAAAGTTCTGTGAATGGATGGTGGTGATGGTTGCACAACAATGTGAATGTATTTAATTCCACTGAACTATACACTTCAAAATGGTTAAGATGGTAAATTTTATGTTATGTGTATTTTACCACAACTTTAAAAATAAAAAGAATAATAATAATAAAATGTAACCTGAGAAAATCCCTAGCTCAGTGACAAGTGCACAGCTGGTGCTCAGTAAATGTCAATTCCCTTCTTACTGCTCACTGGTGTGATACCTGCCTTGGGGTCATGCAGAATAAATCTGTCACTCCCTGATGTTAAAAGAACATCAAGGGCCAGCCCCGTGGCTTAGCAGTTAAGTGCACGTGCTCCGCTACCGGTGGCCCGGGCATGGATCCTGGCAGGCATCGCCCCACTGCTTCTCTGGCCATATTGAGGCCACGTCCCACCACAGCAACTAGAAGGATGTGCACCTATGACATACAACTATCTACTGGGGCTTTGGGGGAAAAAAAGGAGGAGGATTGGCAATAGATGTTAGCTCAGAGCCGGTCTTCCTCAGCAAAAAGAGGAAGATTAGCATGGATGTTAGCTCAGGGCTGATCTTCCTCACAAAAAAAAAAAAAAAGATCAAGTCTCCTGAAAAGGAGCTGTTTCTGGAAGTAGGAAGCAGATGGTGGCATGTGAGGGGGAGCCCCAGGCACCTGTCTCTCCACCCAAACCTCCTTAAGAGCAGCTCCCACAGGCGGCCACAGCATATAGGTGTGGGGTGAGGACGAGCGTCAAAGAGCATGACTGCTCCATCTAGTAGATACGATGTTTTACTGTATTAGATAATGAGGACACGGGAGGGAACGCAAAGCAAGGACGAAATGCTGCGGGGTGGTCACTCAGTCCCAGCCTCCGGAAACACTAGCCTGGGGCTTCAGAAGCTTCCGACACCTGCTGCCCCTCGGCTCCTCTTTGTCTCCTCCCACTTCTTCTCCCCTCCCTCCCGCACGGCCTTCAGTATTCCTTCCTCCCGTTGCTCCTCCCACTCTCCTCCTCCGCCCCCTTCCTTTCAGACGTGCCTCTGACGGGAAATCGAAAGTAAAATAGGGAGCCAGCTGCCACCCCCTGAGTCCCCTGAAAAGGTGAGTGAACCTGGCTAGACCGAGCTCCCCCAGCCCTCGCTGGGGGACCTTTCTCCCCTGCCCCAGATCTGAAGACCCCCTTGTAACCAGTCCCCACCCCTAGAGCCTTCAGTCTCAGTTTTCACTTCTCCGCAGCAGGGCTCGCTCACCCCAAGCCCAGCAGTTCTTCCTGCGCTGGCGGGTCTGCCTGGGAGGAGGCTGGGCTGTGAAGGGGACTTCCAAAGTCACCTAGGAAGAGCTAGGGCTTCCCTGCTGCTGGAACGTGAGCTGGGAAGAGGGTCCCGGTGAAGCTGGGAGAACCAGGACTGCGACCTAGCTCAGAGCGTGGTTCAGGGGAGCACAGGGTGCGGTAGGTCTACAGTCCTTGAGACTCTAGTCCCCGAAAGTCACCCTCTGGGGGTGAGAGGGGCAGGGTTGTTTAGGATGTTGGAAATGTGTGGGTCTCTGCCCTGGAGGAAATGAAGACAGGTACCAGGTTGGGAGTAGCTGGGAGAAGAGCTGGAGTTCTCTTGTGTATACACGCATATGCATATACATATGTGTATATATATGCAGATACATATATACAGTCATGTACACCATAACAATGTTTCAGTCAATGATGGACTGCATATATGACAGTGGTCTCATAAGATTGGTACCATATAGATTAGGTGTGTAGCAGGCTATCCTATCTAGGTTTGTGTAAGTATACTCTATGATTGCAAATGAAGAAATAGCCTAAGAACTCATTTCTTAGAATGTATCCCTGTCATTAAGCGACGCATGACTGTATACTTACAAGAATATATAATATATTTTTATGTATATATTCATATATATATATAACTCCTGTGATCATTGCAAAGATTAATGAAGATGTATGCAAAGCATGTAGCACCTTCTCTGGCACATGAAAGGTGCGTGGTAAATGGTTGCTATTATTGTGATTAACTTCTCAGCACAGTAGAGGACTGGTGGCCTGAGAAGGGAGAAGATGGACAGGAAAAGCCTGGGCACTGAGGGTTTAAGCAGAGATGGACATGATGAAAGTAGAATTGTAAACAGCTTTATCTCTGAGGTTCTCAACAAATTTCACTGTCTCTTTGGGGGACTCAGTTTCCCCTTCTGTCTGACTGGATCCATGGACCAGACTATGGAGCGGAAGCTCTTGTTATTCAGGTTAATGTTCTTGTCTTTTCTTGTTTTCACCCCCTCCAGTTCACTCTCCCTCATGTTTTCCTTTGAATTGTTTTGTTTTTCTCACACAACCCTTCTCATCTTCTTTCCATTTCTCCTCTCCCCACTAGGCCACTGTAAGATTTCCACAGTGCTGCTTTAACAGGAACATTACCGCTATGGCCTCAGCAATGCCCTTGGCAATGATGTGGGAGGAGGTCACGTGCTCTATCTGCCTGGACCCCATAATGGAGCCTGTGAGCATTGAATGTGGCCACAGCTTCTGCAAAGAATGCATCTCTGAGGTTGGGAAAGATGGGGGCAGTGTCTGTCCTGTGTGCCGGCACAAATTCATGCTCAGGCACCTCCGACCCAATCGGCAGCTAGCCAACATGGTGGACAACCTTAGAAAAATCAGCCAGGGTGCCAAGGAGGGCACACAGGAGGAGTGGTGTGGGGTGCATGGAGAGAAACTTCACCTGTACTGTGAGGAAGACGGAAAGGCCCTTTGCTTGGTGTGTTCCCAGTCCCGGAAACACCGTGACCACCCCGTGGTCCCTATTGAGGAGGCTGCTCAGGAGTACCAGGTGAGGCCTTAATATGGAGGCATGAACAGGTAGAAAGGAGATGGGGCCCTGATAAGTGCTTTGTTCCCCAGAGCTGCGGATGGGAGAGAGTCACCTGTGGAGTTGTGGGGTTGGAGAAAGGAAGGGTGCCTCCCGCTTCCATGGCTAATTTAAGGGGAGAAGTGCAAGCTCAGCACAACCTTCTCATTCCCCAGGAACGGGGGACGTGCTCTGGGGAAATGCTGCAAGGATCATGTTTCCTTGTGGCCTCCTGGTTAATTAGGAATGACTAGTGCCCCCACCCCTGCCACCTCACCAGTGTGGCTCTATTTTGTAAGAAACATCGGGCTTTTTCCAAGGTCTTCCCATCCACAGAATTCCTACCCCAATCAGACTCTAGTCTGCCCCCTTTTCTGCACTCAGGCTTTTCTAAGAACTAGTATGATCTTCCCCCACCTCGTGCCTACCTACCCTATGTCTTGGTCTGCTTGGCCTTAACCTGCTATCTTTCTCTGCAGGAGAAGCTCCAGCTGGCATTAGGGAAACTGAGAACAGAACAGGAGTTGGCTGAGAAGTTGGAAGTGGATGTTGCAATGAAGCGAGCAGATTGGAAGGCAAGAATCATGTCCCAAAGGGAATCTTAGATCAGAAGCCTAGGCAGGGTCCAGGGTCCTGGACTCAACAAAGCCCTAACTGTAGTTCTGCCTGCCTGAGGAGTGATAGAGTCAGTATATCTCACTCTCCAAGAAGCAGCCATCCTTGTCTTCTAATAGAGAGAATGAAAAGGTTGTAGCTCAAAGAGAGCTCCCAGTCAGCCACAGAAATCGAGTCTTAGGAGAAGGTACTGTGGGAGAAGCCACACACTAAAGCCCCTGCTCCTGGAGCCCAGTCTTAGGGGATGACAGCACCAGTGCCTCACTATGGGATACAGAGGTGTCCCAGGAGAAATGCCCAATGGCTAGGCCTGTCAGGACATGACAAGGGCTATTTGGAACAGACTTAAGGGAACCACCAAGGCCTGAAGTAGGAAACCCAGTCTGCCCAGGTGGTTGCTTGATTGTGTCCAGATCACTGATACACAGTAGAATGCAGAACTAAAGCTTGTTCTGCACTGGTGATTTAGAGATGGCATAGGTCAGGGATTGGAGGGGAGTGGAAGGAGCTCACGGCCAGTAGATCCCTGAGGAGGAAAATTTGGGACTCAGGAAGGGTGAGGCAGGGCCGGCTCCGTGGCTTAGCGGTTAAGTGCGCGCGCTCTGATGCTGGCGGCCTGGGTTCGGATCCCGGGCGCGCCCCGAGGCACCACTTCTCCGTCCAACGCGAGGCCGAGTCCCATGTACAGCAACTAGAAGGATGTGAACCCATGACATGCAACTATCTACTGGGGCTTTGGGGGGAAAAAAATGAATAAATAAAATCTTTAAAAAAAAAAAAAAAAAAAGGAAGGGTGAGGCAGGCTGTGGTGGCAAAAGGGGTCATCTTGTGTCATTGGGCAACCATCCAGTCACTAGCAGGAGAGAGGAAGTAAAGAATATCCCAAGAGTCCCTTTCCTCAGGACTTAGGAACAGTTTTGTGAGCCTGTCTTTGTGAGGTGGTTGGGGATGGGGACAGGTGTTACTCTCTCAGTAACTCACTGAGATGAAGACAATGGGGCACATCTGGGTAGATACTGGCTTTTGAAAGAGGTTGAGGAAGGTCTCTGATACCATAGGCTGATGCAGCTGTGGTTGTAGGGCAGCTACAGTGTGCCCCCCACCAATCCCATTCCCCTCTTTGTCCCAGAAGTCTCACTTACCTACCTCCCCAGCAAATTGTGTGTGCGTGTGTCTGTGTGTGTGTTTATTCCAGAGAGAGCCAAAGTGGTGAGTCTACAGGGAATAGAAATGGGTATGGACACCTCCATTCTTGAGCTTGGCAGATTTTGATAAAAACCACCTCTCTCTTTCCATTGATGCCAAAGAGGAAGGTTGAGACACACAAATTGAGGATTCACACAGAGTTTATGCAGCAGAAAAACTTCCTGGCTGAAGAGGAACAGAGGCAACTGCAGAAGCTGGAGAAGGAAGAGAGGGAACAGCTGAGAATCCTGGGGGAGACAGAGGCCGAGCTGACCCAGCAGAGCCAGGTCCTGCAGGAGCTGATCTCAGAGCTGGAAAGGAGGAGTCGGGGCTCAGCACTGGAGCTGCTGCAGGTGAGACCTGGGGACAGGCTCCCCGTCTGAGATTCAGGGATTAACTGAAAAAAGCCAGAGCTCTCTGGGGCTACTGTCAAAGCAAGCGGAAACCCAGTCCCTGGGATTTTCTTAAACAAAACAACCTGGAATTTGAACCCATGAGTAGTTTGCATTCAAGACTCGGAAGTTTTAGATTTAGGAGGGAGTATTCCATGCAGCAATTAAAAGAAATGGACATCCCTGTTAAGTGCCTGCTCTAATACCTACCAGATTCGTGACCTTGAGAAACTTCCTTAATCTTGCTGAGTATCAAGTTTCTCATATGTTAAATGGATATCATAATATTATGTATCTCAAAATATTTTTGTGAGGAATAAACAAGAGAATCCATGAAGGCTCTTAGGTAACTGTTGGGCCAAGGGACGGTTTTCAAATATATAATGTAATTAAAAACACTGAACTGAAAATTAAGAGACAGTAGCATAGCCCCAGCCCTGCCACCAATTCTCTCCGTAACCCTAGGTTAAAGATTTTCCTTTCCTAGACCTAACTTCTCCATTTGTGAAACAAGGGGGAGACAATGGGCTAAATAACAAGGGTTCCCCAAACTTTAGTCATAATTGTGTCATCTTTACAATTTCTGCTGCTTCTGTGAACTACACAAATGATTTTAGCATGTTCTTTTTCTTTAAACTGTCTCACTCTTTTACCTGAATAAATTTAGTTTAAAAGGAAATTTCCTAGGCAACAGAAGCCAAGAAATCGTGTGTTGATATGTTACTGTTTTTTTCTAATTTATTTCATAACAATAATAATAACTGCAAATTCTTAAATAACACATATTACATGCCAGGCATTCAATCCCTCGTGACAATGCAGCGGGTGGGTACCACTATTGTCCCTACTTCATAGGTGAGAAAACCAAGGCACAGAGTGGTTAAGAGACTTAATGAGAGACTAAAGCTAAGTAACTTGACCAAGTTCACCCAAATAGTAAGAGGTAGAGCTAACTATTTTTAAAAGTTCATTGATGTATGTTCTACTTGAAGTCATCTCACATCTGCCCGTGATATGTTTGCCTCACATGGGGAAACTACGGACTAGATGGCCTCCAAGTCCCCTCTGCTTTAACATTCTACATCTTTTCACTGTCTCCCAGTCAGATGTGGTCATGAAGCCATTTCTTTCTGGTTTGTGCAAAGCTGACTAGATTGATTTGACTTGGCTGGCGCTCTCCTTCCTATTTTCTAAATCTCGCTTCTGCCCAACATGGAGCCGAGCTTTCTAAAGCACTTTTGACTGGGTCTAGGAGCCTGCCATTTCCCAGGTAAGGGCTTCCAGCCCCTGCAACAGAATATCCTCAAATGATTTGATTTCACATACATGAGGGGACAACATCAGCTACAGCACAGGACAGAGCTTCAACTAACCAGCCTCTCCTCCCTGGACCACTCAAGCCCACAAATGAGAGATAGCAGTTTCTGTGCATCCTGACTTGGCCATTCTTTCCCTGTGACTGTCTCTGGGCCTCAGCCAGGCTGGGCTATTTGCCCCTTTCCCTTCTCTTGCCCCTCCTTTCCCCAACAATCTGGTCTTTCTACTTTGTTTTCTGAGTCAGAGTCCTTAACCTGATCAACCTTCCCCTAGCTTTAGGACACACCCATGCTGGGTCTCTGGTTACCCCACAAGCATCCACACATTCTTTCTGCTCCAAGTTGGTCAGAATGTCTTTTGGGCCTTGGCCCAGAGGAAGCGGGTAGAGCAGTGTCCTGTGGACCTCAGGGTGGCATCACATCACCCACAGGACTGAAGTCTCACTGTGACTCCAGAACTTACTGTCTGTCTCTTTTCTCCTCAGGAGGTGAAAAGCGTCCTGGAAAGGTAAGGAGGGGTTTTCTTTGGTAGAGGAGGTACAACAGGAAGCATGTGTACCTATGATTAAGGTTATTGAGTTAGAGAAACATGCACTGATGTTTTCCCCATACTTCTCCTTATTCTCAAAGACCGAATCCTCCATAAATATTTTCTGGTCTCAGAAAGCTGATTAATGGACACTTCAGTTGGTGAGTTGCCCAAAGTAATTGAACTGTAACATCTTCACAAAGTGAAGCTCTGAAAAATAGGCAAATTCTGGGACGTTCTGAGTCTACAGCCTGCTGGGACTCCTTCTTTAAAAAGAATCTAACCAGTGACAAACCTCCCGGAAAGAGTCCTGAGTAAGACCCATGGCATGGGCGAGACTCCTTGAGGTTCCTTACAGAAGTGATTCAGCATATGTCAGATTCCTTGCCTGTGAATGAAACAGAAAGTGCTTGTGTGGTGACCTCAGGCTTGGAGAGGAGATACAGACTATCCACATGCTGCAGAGGCCCATGTAGCCAGGAAGGCCTGGATAGGAACTAAATCCTACTTCCTTTTGCCTCCCACCCCCAGGAATCCTAACACAGGATGTGTTTGTAAATTTGCATTGAATTAAATTATCAGTCATCCACAAGGGAGGTTATAGTGTTAGGGTTCAGGGAGGATGAGGTAGGAGTTGGGGATGGGATCTTGAACTCTATTTTCCCCCAGGAGTGAGTCTTGGAACCTGAAAACGCTGGACATTGTCTCCCCAGACCTGAGGAATGTGTGCCACGTGCCAGGGCTGAAGAGCATGCTGAGGACCTGTGGAGGTAAGGCGAGTGCCAGGAGGGTGGGACTGGCCTGCTGGGGAGCAAAAATGGATAATAAGTGTGCAGAGTACATCCCAGGGTTCATAAGAGATGCCAGGTCAGAATAGGTGGGGCAGGGATGGAGATAGAGAAGGCGGTTCCCTCGAAGGTCAGGGGAAGGGAAGAAGCTGGCTAGGGAGTCATTTCCTCACACAGTGAGGCTCAGGGTCACCCACTCATCCCCATCCCCCGACAGGCACAGGGTTACTGACTCCTCACACTCTCCCAGCCTGAGTGTGGTCCTCTCTCTGCAGTTCACATCACTCTGGATCCACAGACAGCCAATCCACGGCTCATCCTTTCAGAGGACAGGAGACAAGTGAGGCTTGGAGACACCCAGCAGAAAGTGCCTGAAAAGGAGGAGAGATTTGATACTTATCCCATGGTCCTGGGTGCCCAGCACTTCGACTCTGGAAAACTTTACTGGGAGGTAGATGTGACAGGAAAGGAGGCCTGGGACCTGGGGGTTTGTAGAGACTCTGTGCAAAGGAAGGGATATTTTTTGCTTAGCCCCGAGAATGGCTTCTGGACAATTTGGCTGTTTAACAAACAAAAATATAAGGCTGGCACCTGCCCTGTGACTCCCCTCCACCTTCAGGTGCCTCCACGCCAAATTGGGATCTTCCTGGACTATGAGGCCAGCACTGTCTCCTTCTATAACATCACTGACCATGGCTCTCTCATCTACACCTTCTCTGAATGTGCCTTCGCTGGACCTCTGCGGCCCTTCTTCAATCCTGGTTTCAATGATGGAGGGAAAAATGCGGCCCCTCTAACCCTCTGTCCACTAACGATGGGATGGTAGTGATCCACTGTTGATGGCTTTCTCTGGATACCAACACTCCCTCTGTTGGTACCCCTACTCAGCCACTGACCCTGCCTCATTTTCACCTGAATTCCGAACCATCTTTGTCTCTCCAGAGGTGTCAAGATACCAGCAAGCAGACTTTGGCAAGGAGGTCACTGAAAGTCTATGTCAAATGAACTTCAACATCAATATTCCTGCCCTAGATTGCCTTATGATTCTCTCCATGAAAGAAACTACTTATATTTAGCCCAAACTCATCCAGATCAACCAAAACATTTTTCTACCTTCTTTATGTGACTCAAGTTTTGTTTTCTCCTCTCCTTCGCTAGGCCTGTGGTCAGATCTCTATTATCTATCTTGCATTGTTTGCAGAAGGGCTTCCTAAATAAATAGGGCCTCCATCTATCTCATTCAATCCTTGTTCTCATTGTTCTTGTACACATCTAGGAGTATCTTTCCAGCATATGCACATCTGATCATAAGTGGCTCCACACTGCCTATAGAAAAGTAGCCATACTTTTTAAATAAAGGCTGAATTATGCAGAACTTAGATTGCCATGTTAAATATCCAGCCTGCTATGCCTCCCCCATTGCCACCATTGTCTCCCAACCACATCCTGTTGATAATGGAGTTGGTTAAAGGGCATATCAATCTAAATGATGTGATGGTTTTCTGATGTGTCACCCTGGCTAGGCTATAAGCCCGAGTTTTTCAATCAAACTCATCTAGATGTTGCTGTGAAGGTTTTTGTAGATGCTTTTAAAGTCCATAATCATTTGACTTTAAGTAAGGGAGACTGAATTAGGCCCACCTAGCTTGTCTACGACAATGCAGTGAAAGGCCATAAGAGCAGAACTGAGGCCTCCACCTATGAATAGCTGCTTCAGCTCCTGCCTGAAAGTTCCAGCTTGCCCTTCCTGATGGCCTGCCTCAGATTTAGGACTTGCCTTGCCAGCCCCTGCAGTTGTGTAACCATATTCCTTGCAATAAATCTCTTAATATTTATGTCCTACTAGTTCTGCTTCTCCAGTTGAACCCTGATTGGCATGAAGGCCGGGATTAAGGTAACAACATCACTTAGTAACAGCAAGCACTTTCTTGAGTTTAAGCTTTTAATGTTGGAGCAATGAAGCTCTACACCTGAGCAATAGGAGGCTGTGAGAGAGCCATATCCTTCCAGGAACCCTGATTCCTTATCTAAAATAGAATCTCAGGTTGCCCTCAGAACATGTAAACTTAAATACTCTCACTTCTCAAAATCTGAATACCTTGACATATCAGGTTACTGTGATCCTTGGAGATGTACGTTACACAGATGACATATTACTATCCCCTTGGTCTCCACCAAAAGAAATTAAGTGTTGGAGATCTCATAGTATCTCAGCTTTTATTGCCACCAATGATGTCTAAGAAGTAATCACCCCTGCCTGTCACACAAAAATTCTCCTGAGAAATGAGGGAATATTCTACTAGCACCAATTTCAATTTCGATTAATATTATCCTTTAAAATGCACATAAAGCTTGTTGAATTTTGTGATCTTTGATTATAAAACTTCTTTTGAATTAGAAGAGGCAGAAATTAATACACCAAAATTTTAAAGATAAACAAGCTAAGACAAAAAGAAATTGGATTTATTCACTGCTTACTCTGTCATGCATATTCAAGATCCTGTGCATATTTTTTAGTTCTATCACAGCCATATAAAGGTATAATCAAGAAATTTAAAGATTATGGTGAGCACCTTTTTATTTATGAAGCTATTTTATATTTTAAATTTTTTCAGCTTTATTGTGGTATAATTGACAAAAATTATATATATTTAAGATGTATTCTTAAATATATATGTATACTTTGTGAAATGATTGCCACAATCAAGCAAATTGACACATCCATCACCTCACATAGTTACCTTTTGTGCGTGTGTAGTGAGAAAATTTAGGATCAACTCTCTTACCAAATTTCAAGTATACAATACCCTATTAACTGTAGTCACTATGCGGTACATTAGATCCTCAAATTGATCCTCAAAACGGATTCATCTTATAACTGAAAGTTTGTACCCTTTGACCAGCACCTTCCCATTTCCCCCACCCCTGTGCCCCTGGCAACCACCGTTCTACTCTCTACTTCTATGAGTTCGACTTTTTTAGATTCCACATATAAAAGAGATCATGCAGTATTTGTCTTTCTGTATCTGGCATATTTCACTTAGTATAATGTCCTTCATGTTAATCCATGTTGTCACAAATGGCAAGATTTCCTTCTTTTTATAAATGAATAATATTCCATTATATATATGTACCACATTTTCTTTTTTCTCCCAGCTTTATTGAGGTATAATTGACACATAACATTTTGTAAGTTTAAGATGTACAATATAATGATTTTTGATATACATATACATTGCAAAATGATCATCACAATAAGCTTAGTTAACACATCCATCACCTCCCATAGTAATATTTGTGTGTGTGTGGTGAGAAATTTTAAGATCTACTCTCTTAGCGACTTTCAAATATAAAATACAGTATTATTAACTATAGTCATCATACTGTACATTACATCCCTAGAACTTATTCATCTTATAACCAGAATTTTGCACCCTTTGACCACCTTCACTCATTTCCCCTACCTCCCACCCCTTGCCTCTGGCAACCACCTATCTATTCTCTGTTTCTATGAGTTCAGTTTTAGATTCCACATATAAGTGAGGTCATACGGTATTTGTCTTTGTCTGATATATTTCACTTATCATAATGCCCTCAGGGTTCACCCATGTTGTCACAAATGGCAGGGTTCCTTCTTTTTTATGGCTAAATAGTGTTCCATTATATATATCACATATTCTTTATCCATTTATCTGTCAATGGATGCTTTAGTTGTTTCCATGTCTTGGCTATTGTGAATAATGCTGCAATGAACACGGGGGTGCAGAAATCTCTTGAAGATCCTGATTTCAATTCCTTTGGATATATATCCAGAAGTGGGTTTGCTGGATCATATGGTAGTTATATTTTTAATTTTTTGAGGAAACTTTATGCTGTCTTTTATAGTTGCTGCACCAACTTACATTCTCAGCAATAATGCAGACAAGTTCCCTTTTCTCCATATCCTTGCCAGCACTTATCTCTTGTCTTTTTGATAATAGCTGCCGTTCTGACAGGTGTGAGGTGATATCTCATTGTGGTTTTCATTTGCATTTCCTTCACAACTAGTGATATTAAGAAACTTTTCATGTACCTGTTGGCTGTTTGTATGAGTTATTTGAAAAATGTCTATTCAAGTCATTTGCCCATTTTTTAATCAGGTTGTGTTTTTGCAATTGAGTTATATAGGTTTCTTATATATTTTGGATATTAACCCCTTACCAGATGTAGGATTTGCAAATATTATCTCCCATTCCATAGGTTGCTTTTTCATTTTGTTGACGGTTTCCTTTGCTGTACAGAAGCTTTTTAGTTTGGTGTAGTCCCACTTGATTATTTTTCTTTTGTTGTTTGTGCTTTTGCTGTGATATCTAAAAAATCATTGCCAAGACCAGTGTCAAGGAGCTTTTCCCTATGTTTTTTTCTAGGAGTTTTATAGTTTCAGGTCTTGCATTTAAGTCCTTGATTCATTTCAAGTTAATTTTTGTGTATGGTTTAAGATAAGAGTCCAATTTCATTCTTTTCCATATGGATATCCAGTTTTCCTAACACGATTTAAGAGACTATCCTTTCCTCATTTTGTATTCTTTGACAAAGGTGTCAAACTTATAGTTGAACTTATAGGCAGGGGTTTATTTCTGTGTGCTCTATTCCTTTCCATTAGTCCCACTTCTAATTCAAAGTAAGTGGGTTTGTTTTACTATCAAGTGCATATACGATTAAATTAACATATATTCTGTCTAGCTGTTTTCACTGCAATGTTCTAGATAAGTTCATTGTAAGAAAAAATTCTGATTGTTCAATATGATTTAGTTTGGTTTTGATACATTGTAAGAAAAAATTCTGATTGTTCAATATGATTTAGTTTGGTTTTGATATCCCTATTTTTCTGGGACCCTATACATGTGCTAACAAGAGTCTCTAAGAGAATAAGCTACTTCCCCAAGGTCAAACACATCATTTTAGGTGAAGCCAGGATCCAAATCTAATTCTGATCTAAAAGCTCTTTTTTCTAAACACTACCCTTCTCAAGGTAACACGACAATCCATCTTTCAAAGTCTCGACAAATCACTTTGTTCACAGTCAGGAGAACCCTTGGTTCCTAGGTCTCTACAAAGTAGGCAAGGAAAATATGAGATCCTACATTGGTAAACATGCCACCTGATCAGTCACACCAACTCAGCAGAATTTCCACTGTGAAGACAAAGTACTGACCACATGCTCTCGAATCTGCCTGGTCTTGACACCGTAAATGACGGGGTTCAGCATGGGAGGGGATAACATGCAGACATTGGCCAGCAGAATGTGAGTATGGAGAGGAACATGATGCCCAAACCGCTGGGTAATTATCGTAAAAATGCCGGGCAAGTAGAACATGGAAATGACCCCGAAGTGGGAGCCACACGTGCCCAGGGCCTTTTGCCAAGCTCCTCGGGAAGGAAGGCGGAAGACTGCATTGAGGATGAGGGTGTAGGAAACCAAGATGAGAAAGGCATCTAGCACTACAGTAGAGAGAAGGACAGACAAGCCATACCAGACATTGACACGAATATCAGCACAAGCCAACTTGGCAATAGCCATGTGCTCACAGTAGGTATGTGGTAGCACATTGCTACGGCAGAAAGGCAGTCTCTTCACCAGGAACACATCTGGGAGTATCACAGAGAAGCTTCTCAGGACCACAGCCAGGCCAACTCTCATGATTACTGCATGACTGAGCGCTGTAGTATAGTGTAGTGGGTCACAGATGGCCACATAGCGGTCAAATGCCATGGCCAACAGAATTCCTGATTCAGCAATGAAGGTGGCATGGATGAAGAAGATTTGGGTGACACAGCCATCAAGGGAGATCTCCCCAGCATGGAACCAGAATATGGCCAGAGCTTTGGGCACAGTGGTAGTAGACAGGATGAGGTCAGCCACAGCCAGCATGCAGAGGAAGAGGTACATGGGTTCATGGAGGCTGCGTTCAGTGATGACAATGAAGACAAGGAGGCTATTCCCAAGAACAGCAACAAGATAGAAAATAAGGAAGGGGAGAGAGATCCATGTGTGCTGGTCTTCCAGGCCAGGGATGCCCAGAAGAATGAAGAGGGAGTGGCTGATACCAGTGTTGTTGGGGGTTGCCATGCCCAGGACAATTCACGTGGGTGTTAGTGTGTAGGATTTGGCAGTCACCTCTTCTCTCTTCCCAAAAAGGTGAATAGGGTTGGAGTAGGGGAAGTGGGAACAGAACATTTTTTTACTGGATGAGCAGTGGAAAGGGTTCTGGTCAGGAAGTCAGGAAACGTGGGTTAGAAATCCTTGCCATTCTCTTCACTTGCTATGTGATCTCAGTAAAATTACTTCCCTGCTCTGAGTCTCTCTTTTCTCACTTTAAAACTAAAGTTGGGGAGAAGTTGGATAAGATTACCTGTAAAAGAGTTGTTCCAGCTCTTGAATGCCATAGATCTGAGTCTCAGGTTGTTATAAACAGTTAAGAGTTATGAATAACAAAACACTGCAGGTTCCACTTGGACCATCAGAATGTGATCTGCATCTCAAAAGGAAAATGGTAACTGAGTCGATTGTCAGTTTAACAAACCTCACTGAGGACCTACCATGGCACCTGGAGGACCTACTTGGGAAGCGACAGACAATTAAGAAAATATCTATCTATATAATATGGATAATGTAGAGGAAAACTTAAACACAGGGAGCTGTGGAAACATGGAGAGCTTCCTAGGAATTCAGAAAAAGTTTTCTAAAACCGCCACCCTGAGTTGAACCTTGGAGAATAAGTAATAGCTTGCCAAGTAAAGTTATGTGAGAAGGGAAGAACATGAACAAAGTAGAAGAGATCTGAAAGAACATGAA